GTTCAATACAGCATTTAGCAATGTTTGTGTTGATTAAACCCTAATAATTAAGAAAATAACAGAAAAAAATTAGTATATAAACACACAAAATGAATATTTTAGTTTAAAAATGTCTATTTTATAATTATAACCTCAAAAAATTAAGAATATAAAAGTTTGTTATAACACGCTATAGAAAACTGCTTGGCGACTAGGCGAGGTGAGACTCCAAGGGCACCTTGTCGCTTAGGCGTGCCTTAACCCCTTCTAAAACTGCCACTAGTTCAGCCCTTAGAGAGCCACCTCCAATTGGGCCAGAGAAGAGGGCAATGAACTTCCCTTCATCATCCCTAAAACCACCTCCAATTTCTGACAGCCCTGGATTTCCAACACTGCTCCCATCAAAATTTAACTTGATGGAATTAAAACATTCTTAATCGGGGCTGAATAAGCAATTTCCTTCTAATTCCTTAAGAAATCTTCCATAGAAAAATCCTTAAAAAGTTCCAAGGATTTAGTCAAATGTACTACTCTGTCTGAGAATAACCGTGAATTCCTCTCTTCCCAAATAGACCAACAAATCTTCCAACTATGATATTTCACAAGATCCTCCAATTTATCAACAAGATACTTTCACTAATATACAAACAAATTCAAATGTTGGAGATCAAGCTGCTTCCCTGTCAGAGTGTTCGATAAAGATTGGATCAAGAAGATCAATTGCTGGATGAGAGCCCTCAGTCCTTGGCAGCACTTCTCTTTTGAATTCCTGTTTTCTGTTGACTTCCTTTGTAATTAGCTGTCAGGTTGCTTCTGCATGGTTTTCTGTTTGTTGTTTTCTATCTGGCTGTAAAGGAGTTTTCTTCCTGTACAAGCTCTTGAGTTTATCTCTTTGTAAACTCATGGATATCTTTTGAATTACAAATCATACTTTTTCTTGGTTCAAAAAAAAAAAAAAAGATGCTTCCCTATCATAAGATGGTCATTTGGAATAAAAAAAGACATGCGTATAGGGATTAGTAGAGCCATTTTTTCTACAAATAATAATCAATTCCTCTTCCTACTCCATTTCTTTTTCCTCCGTTTTGCATATGGATTGTTTTTATGCTTTGTGGCAACAGCAGGAAGAAACTAACAAGGATCCAAAGTGAATCAAAAGGATTCTTGACAGATGTACGGTTATTGATACTGCAGTTCATATTAACTCTTGATATGCTGTCATACAGAATGGATATTAAAGTAGTTTTATTGTTCATTCATTTTCCTTTTCTTCTTGAACAAGGTAAAGTAACTTTATTTCCATCTAAAAAAAATCAACAACAAAGTACAATGAGCAGGGGCTCTACCCACAAAGTGACTGCATCCCAATTATTAAAACACTCAACCAAAGCTGATTGTACTTTGATTTTCTAAAAATCCTCATACAGAAGGGTTCTGGAAATTCTTTTATACTGAGACCCAGAACCCTATCCTCCCACCACCTTTCTAACCAGCTCCTCATCCTTGAGAGCCCTTTTCTCAAACACTATTATTCTTCTCCATCCAGATGGACCATAGTACTACTGCTGAATAGCAGTCAAAAAAAAAAAAAATTCCCTTTCTTAGATAAACCATCCACCCACTCACCAAGATCCAAGTAAATCTTTTATGGAGGTTGAGTCCGGCTCAGCTTCATGGCTGAGAAGAAATGAGTCCAGACTTTGTGCACAGTAGTACAATGAATGAAAATGTGATCTGCTGTCTCTACATCACACAGGATGCTCCTCAGATCTGATATTATCATCCCTTTCTGACAAATTCTAGTCAAGCATTTTCCCAGTGCCACCAACCAAACCAGTAATGCAACCTCTAAGGGGACATGGACTCCCAAACAACTTTATTAGGAAATGATCTGGGTCCAGTGTCTGACAGAAAAGCTTCCATCAGTTGCCCACCTCCATACCCTATAATCATTTCCGCTGGGACTAGGGAATTCATCCTGCATTTTAACAAAAATCTTGCCATGTCCTGTAGATTTCCAAAATTTTGGACACCAGAAAATTCCTCTCCGTATTGGTTCAGCTTATGCTTTGTCATCCACTTAATTTGATTTTTACAATCTATCTAACAACTATTCTATTTTTTCATTTTTCTATAGGAAACGGTAACTTTCAATCATATAAATTTTAAAATCATAAGATTAGACATTCCATAGCTGGAATGCTGATTCCAAAAACAGATCCACTGTTACAATACAGTCTAGAAAAGAAACCAGCAGGCTCTAAAACTGCTCTGATACCAATTAGACAATGAATGCTATAAGATGTTATTGTAAACAATTAAGAGTGAGAGGCTGAAGAGAAGAGAGGAGAGGAGAAAAAGGAATAGAGGGAATATGGTCGAACAGGTTTGTTTGCCTCAGAGATCACCGCACCCTAGTTTATATACATCATCATTTAAAAGAAATGAAATTGCAAGATTGCCCCTAATAAAAAGAATAAGACAGCAGCTGAATATTTTAAGTGTCTCTGTAGAAATCAAGGCTTAAAAAATGCCTCAGCAGTTCCAATCACCAAAATTCCATTTTAAGCTTTTATAACATTCATACCATACAACAAATCTCCAGATTCCAAAATTTTCCAACTATTTAGACAAGGAAATTGAATGTTTGAAATAATGAAATAAGCATACAACTTAACAAAGCTACTAATAAAAACTGGGAAATAAGACTAAAAGTCTAAAACTTCCATTTTCCACTAAAGGATATAAACCAGCAACAAAATACAACTCTAACATCTAAACAGAAAAAGAAGCTGCAGTTCTATTAAAATCAACCTCAACACCAAAGCCAATATGTAGAAGACATGCTTGAATAGAAAAATCTCATGGCTAAACTCTTCCTGTTAGCTTTCTACTTCTTTTTAATTTGGTGCATCATTCCCATTATTATGAGGAAAAAATAAAACCTAGTAGTTCTTTGTCTATAAAGTGACAAGGCCCCAATTTTTGTCAATAAAGAGAAGAAAACTTTCTGATTTAGTGGCAAAAAAGAGTACCAGTAACTGCATATAGTGCACATAATTTGTGAAAGTCAAGGGATCGATCCTATCAATAAAGAAGACAACACGTCAGACAATATTATGATTCTTATCAACATCATTGCAAGATATTATAAAAATATACAGGCTAAGTTTCCAAACAATGCATAAGAACATATAATTTTGTCAAGATTATGTAATTTTCCTTGTAGTTTATAATGTCCAACCTTGAATGAAAATCCAGGACTGTCAGCAGAAGTTTGAATATTATCTATGCACAACTTCCAAAAATACTTCAATAAACAGACTGACTTGACATGGACATAAAATTGACTAAATATGGGTTTGCTTAAACAAAAACAAACAAATGCATACTCTGGTATTTTAGCATATGGAAATGCATAGCTAAGCAGCTATAGCAATAGGTTTGACTACTGAATAACATGGAAGGAAGAAGTACAAAATTTAGGAAATGTACCAAAAAGGTCTAGTTGAACAGACATTATGCATTGAAATCACAAGACAGCTTACACAGCCAATGGTTTCTTATTAACTGAAAGTCTCCAGAAAATGGCAATTTGCACTTGCAACATAAGATGACAAACAAATAGAGGCAATAGCATGAAAAGATCTTTTTTTATATAGGAAATAAAAAATCATTAAGAAAAAGGGAAAATGATTAAGTCTGGTAATAAAATATCATCCAGAAAAAAATAATACAACTCTTCATCCACACCACAAAACAGAACAAAATCACTCATTCATACCCAACAATCCTACTGAAAAACCATGACAAAAGAGCTATAACGGTATAACCATGCTGGACAGAACAAACTCATAAAAAGGTCTAGCCTGATTCAACCTGTAATACATCCTTCACTAATTCACCACAAGAATTCACTATAGCACCTTAAACACCCCTCTTCTACTTAAGCTAACTCCCTTCCCAATTTACCTACCCAGTTACCCCAATAAAACATCTCCCAGCTCTCTAAACTCCAGCTAAATCTATATAAATTTCCATAACTCCCTAAGCCCCATGACAAAACTGCATTAAAACCCCTCCTGACTGTTAAACTGATTTCACTCTAACTCTTCCTGTTTCTCCCAACTCCATGAAAATTTTTCTTGCAACTTCTTCACCCAGAAAAAAATAATCCCAACTTCTTACCAATTTGAACCTTTCTCAAAAGCCACATTTATGTTTTTTTGTTAATTAATTGAACTCAAACATGAGAATGCCCTCTTCAATTTCCTCTTGAACCAACTTATCTTCTCTTCCCTGCTTCATACTATCATCCTAAGCTTTGATTTCATACACCTGCAATGAATGTCAAAAAGGAGCTCGACATATTTTGCTAAGATCAAAGCATTATTTCAACTTGACATCAGCAGTGAACCTACAGTTGCCAGGACATGAAAGGGGCTACCATTGGATGCCCTTCTGAGTTGGGGAACCTGGGTTTACTTCGAAGCTGTTCAAATACATATTTTTTTGCAATTGTTGTTAGTAGTGTTACTGTATTAAGGATTAGTTTTCAAATCCTTCCTAGAATATTGTAATAGCTGTTCATGAAGGATAAAAGAACTTAGAAATATACATCCATTACTCAATATAGCAGTTTCCAAATCCTTCCTAGAATATTGTAATTGCCTGGTCTACCATAGAGAGAATGTCTTCCATTGATTACATGTTGAGAAAGAAGGAAGTAGACCAAGAAGCTTCTTATGAATAACATATGACAAAAGTTACTAGTTGAACCCTACTGAAGTGAAAACATTACTTTCCTATCACTGCTATAGTCTGCTCTAAACTCATTTTATGGCTTTCTAAATTGAATAAATGGTCTTCTAGTTGCCTTTTCAACCTTTGCACCTTATTTGTACGATATAATGTGGTTTAACTGTGCTACATCTAAAACTATTAAACCTCTTATAACGAAACACCAAGGCAAGGCACACAATGTGATCCCAAAATAAAGCATTATCACCTAGAAGTGACCTAGGAATTGCCTTGACAGCCTTACAATGAACTAAATAAAAAGTTTTTCCCTTGGTGCATCTAAAAGTGATATAAAATTTCAATATATTAACAATCATAAAGAAGAGAAAAAAGTTGCATAAAGAAGAGTAAGAGGGTTGTGTATCACAGCAAGAAGAACGAATACAAGAGTTCAGCCATGAAGTTGAGATGAGAGGATCTCCAAGGTATGTCAAGAGCAGGGAATCTAGATACCAACTAAAATTTCACAGATATACACAAACTAGATGAGTCTTTACAACCATCTGGTACATACAGAGATTGCCTGATTTCCCAACTTGGGAAACTAAAATCTAAAATTCTAAGGAGCTCGAACTTTAGTATCTAGTGGTGGAGAATTCAACCCAAAACCATACAAGCGATTAACTATACTTGTGAATGTGTCAGAGAAAGAATGAGTCAAGTAAATAAAAATCACTTACCCATTGTCATAATTTATTCACTCTATATGATGGACCTATGGAAAAAAAATAACCAATGGTCATATTTAGAGGTGGGAATCAAAAGATGAACCTCTATTTCTTCCTTACTCCTTTCCTATGTGGCATCCGTAGCCCATTTAATCCAAATGAAATTCATCTTGGGCTCCTTGCTCCCATCTAAAGTGGCCTCATGTAGAATGTACATAGACTTGTTTGTCAGAAAATTTCAAGGTAACTAGTAATTGGCAAATTCTTTTCACAGACGACCACCTTATTATGCATATACAAGTCAAGGTTTTAAAAAGGTAAAAGGTGAAGGCAAGGTAGTCGGACCTGGAAAGGCGAGGCATATGCTTTTGATTACATATATATGAAACCTATGCTTTTGAAATTGTATTTTTTCTCTTCTATGTTTGTGACCTTCTGTACCTGAGCACAATAATTTGTCTACTAAATTTACATTCATTTCAGTTTATTCATAACATATATACATAACATACTAAATTTGTAATTCCTTTATGCATTTTGGAGTATGATTTACTTCTTTCATAGCCAATTTATACAGGTGCAGGATGAGAGGTATTGTATTATGTATCAAAATGAATCCAAATATACAATCAACCCAGACCCCTGTACAATGAGAAGTTGTACTAGAGGAGACCCAACATCCCCAAAAAATAAACCAACCAGCAAGAAATTACATACAAATATCCAAAAGTAAATACCTATCAAAACAAGAGTTTGTATGTCTAACTTTGAATAAAGAGAGATCACCCAACCACAAATACATGCTCAAGATTTTTTTGAGAACCACCTCTTTTGATTTTTGGCCCCCTTCAAAAATTCTAAGGTTCCTTTCACACCAAACTGCCCAGAACACTGCTGCAGGTATAATGTTTTAGACTACTCTGCCAGCCTTAATCCCTTTTTCCACCAAGCAAACATGAAGCTCTTTACATCAGCTGGAAAGTACATCTTTACCCCAAAATTTTCCAATATTTGTCCCCAAATCCATTGAGCACGCTCGCAGTGAATCAGAAGATGGCTTGTAGTTTCCATGCTTTTGTTACACATAACACACCTCTTATCCTGCACCTGAATGCCTCTTCTAATTAGTCTTTCTCTTGTAAGGATTTTATCCAGCACCGATGACCACACAAAGAAAGGCAACTTCAATGGTATATTCCTGATCCATATCTTCTTATCTGGGAACTCAGAGACTTCCTCCCTATCAGGTTGTTGTAGAAGGATTTGACAGAGAAGACCCCTGAGTTTTCAAAAATCCATTTCCTTTTGTCCTCCATAGATCCATTTAATCTAACATTATACAAAGTCTGCAACAAATTTATTAGAGAACTCACCTCCCAATTATTCAGGTTCCTCCGGAATTTGAGGATTCCACATACAGCCCCCATTCTGCCTTTCCAAGTAGTCTGCCACTGTTGTATTCTTGTCCACTGTAATCTCAAAGAAATCAGGACATCTGTCCTTAAGAGGCCCATTGTCACACCAAATGATGATTCCAGAAAAGAACCCTTTGACCATTACCAATTCCGTACTTTATTCCCTTGAAGAAAAGCAAGTCTAATTTTTGGGTTGCCTTCCAAATTGAGCAGCTGTATGAAGATCTTATGTTCTCTGTCACCCAGTCTCTTGCACTAGGCCCATACTTGGCTAAGATTAGCCTTCTCCAAAGACTATCCAGCTGATAGTTAAACCTCCATAGCCATTTTCCTAGCAATGCAATGCTGACTTCCTTTAATTTTCTGATGCCCAGACCCCCTTGATCCTTGGATCTGCAAACTGTCTTCCATTTCATCAAATGATATTTGTCTTCCTCCTTCCAACCCTATCCACAAAAAATCCCTCATCTTTTCTCCAAAAGTGAAGTCGTTTTCACTGGAATTGGGAACAAGGACATGTAATAAACTGGCAGAGAAGAAAGTACACTTCTTATTACACTGACTTTACCTCCTTTTGATAGATACTTTGTCTTCCAGGAAGCGAAAGTAAATGAAATTTTATTTTGTATTTGCTTTGCGTTTATAACCTTCTCAATCTAAATCAAATAATTTGTATTCGTACATTTTTATAACAAAGTAAGTTTATTTGTAATTTTTATTCATTTTGCAATATGATTTATTTCTTTCATATTTAATTTAAATATTTACTTTTTATTATATATATTTTTTAATATGAACTATATGTTTTTGAAATTTTATTTTGTGTTCTTTACATTTATATCCTTCTCTGCCTAAATGAAATGTTTTTTTCTGAAAATGGTAATGTATTGTATTAAAATGAACAAAATAAACCAAGATATACAATCAGCCCAGAAGCCCTGTACAATGAGAATTTGTACTAGGGAAAACCCAACAGACCCAATTACAATAATCCCAAATGAGCAAAAAATTTACATATTACTAACAAAAAGATGATCCCTATCAAAAAAAGAATTTGTCTGAATTTGAACAGAGTGATTTGCCAACAATGAAAACAATGTGCCCGAAAAGTTTTTGAAAACCTCCTCTTTCGAATTCTGTCTTCCTTCAAAAGTTCTGTTATACCTTTCACACCAAACTGCTCAAAAAATTGCTGCAGGTATGTTGTTCCAAGCTACTCTACCAACCTTACTTAACCCCCTTAGCCACCAAGCACTCATGAGACTCTTCACGTCAACTAGAAGCACAACTTAGCCCAAAAATTTCTAACATTTCCCCCCAAATCCAGTAAACAAACTCACAATGAATTAGTAGATGATTAATTTGTCTACCAAAATGAAATAATTTGCTTACCTAATTACATAAATCCTAGTTTATTTTTAAAATTAAACTAATTTGAAAAATGTTCTCCAATAAGTATATTCATATGCAACTTATTTAATATGAATTCATGTCAGAATGGTTAAAAGGAGATTAAAATTTTGTTACATTTTTATTACATTGATAATATTTATTTATTGTTTTTTAAATAGAAACATAACTGTAATTATTAGTTTGTTGGTTGATCAAGTCTACCACGTGTAACGGGTCAATGTATAAGAAAAAAAAATATTTTTGGGCTAAAAAAGATATTAGGAGTGACTTTTGGTGTAAATTATTTTATTTTATTGTTAATTAATTAAATAACTAAGTTTCCTTGAATTTTCAAAAATATTATACATTTACGTATTTTTATTTCTCATTTTGGATAAATTCAGACTGTCACCCTGTACTTAGGGGTGGTGACACTTAGCCCCCCAAACTTTGTTTAGGAACAATGACCCACAAACTTTTGGATTTCAGCACTTTTCCCCCTACTCCATTAATGGGGTTAATGATGGACTCATTTGAAATTCAATGGGTTAAGAACAAAAGCTATCAAAATGATGAAAATGGGCATGCTAAAGCACAATATCTCTTTTGGGTTGGGTTACTGTGCTTCCAAACCCTCATGATGAACTCTATTTCTTCTTCAGCAAGGATTTGGTATTTGGAAGCACAGTAACCCAATCCAAAAGAAATATTGTGCATTAGCATGCCTATTTTTGTCATTTTGATGATTTTTCTCTCAATCCATCAATCTCGAATGGACAATTTAGTAATTTTACCTTCACCATAAGCCCCGTTAACAGAATAGGGGCAAAGTGCTGAAGTCGTGAAATTCAAGGGGTGTCACAAAACAAAGTTCAGGGAGCTAGGTGTCACCAATCCCCCAAGTACAGGGTGGCATTCTGCAATTTACCCTTTCATTTTTATTCATCTTAATATGCTTTTTGGTATGTTGAGGCATACACCTCATTAATTTGATGTGAAAGGCAGCAAGGCCCATGCCACAAGCAACTTGAGGTGCAAGCCACATACAAATCATATAAGGTGTCAAGGCTAGGTGTTTGGCTCTGCCTTGCCTCAAAGTTTACGCCTCAATGCCTTTTAAAACCATGAGATACATACACATACATATATATACATATCAAACAACGACTACGGAATTATTTTTATAATTAAGTGATGTTTTTGAACCTTCAAATGATACACCTTAGACAAATATCGCTCAAACAAATAAATCGTGTACCTTTAGTTCCAAAGCAGTGTCATGTGGAATTAGGGCCGCCATCAATGTTTCCATAGTGTTGTGCTACTTATTGATGTCAAAAATGTGTGAAAATGTATATATCCTCTCATAGTCAACCATTCCTAACTTTCCTGCTTTCCAGGCATAACTGTCCTCTGATGTGGTTCCTCATTGACTCACAAAATACGTTTGCTAGTAGATGACCTAAAGAGTAATAGACTTACCAGAAGTTAAGAAGTACACATATTAAGAAACTAAACTAAAGCTTAATATTTCCTTTCTTTTTCTTTTTTGTTATAAATCTAAAACTTAATACATTTGTGATGAAAACCTTGGCCAATAGGTCACTATGAACATTTAGCTGCACTGTTTAACTAACATTTGACAAACTGTTTAATTAGTTAACACTCCCAACATATACCCAAAAGATTCTTACAGAATAACAAATAACAAGATAAAAATTGAGATGGACAAGAACCATAGAGCAACAGTAATTTCAGTCATAACTATATCTTGGGGTAATTTACATAAGCGCAAATATATCGAATTACACTGATAGAGGCAGACCAGGTGGTGTATGGGTACAGCAGTCAAAGTTCCAAATCTGCCATTAATGCGTCCAACAATTTCATGAACCTGACTGGTAAGTTTTTGATCTGTGAAAGAAAATAAAATATAATTTATGGGTAAAAGATATAAAGCATTTGTAATAATAAGAAGCATGTTAATGCAAATATAAAAAGTCAAGCAAAGGCAGAACTTATGTTATATAAACTTGCTCCAATGTAAATAAGACCCTCATATTTTTCTCAAATAAATGTAATTTTTAATCATGATAAAATCATGATATATTCAACAATGCATACCCAAGAAAAAAAAAAGAAAGAATTCCCAAAGAACTAACAGTATAAAGTAAATTAGGATTCTTGTTGGATTAAACAGACTCAAGAACTGCCATTTATTTGTTATGTTCACATTTTATGCTGTCTAGTTTAAGATGAGTTGGTTAAGTCCGGTGTTTTAAATGTACAAGGCACAAGGTAATACTTGCCTTTTCAAAGGAAGGAGCAATTTTTTGCAATTGTTTTGCATGTTTTCAAATCTTCTAAAATTTTGCACCTTGCTTCAAAAAGGCCACACCTTGCCTTATGCCTCAGGCACAAAATGCCCTTTGCACTATTTTTGCGCCTTGCACTTTAAAAAACTGCCTTGGCTGAAGCTGCAAAGTGCTCTTGACAAGTTAGGAATGATAGACATCTACTCCCAACTTGAGGGGGAGTGTTGACAGACCAGTTAATGTTGATCTTATTTATTTATGGGCCTACTTTATGAGGTTATTATGTTTTTTCCCCTCTTATTTCTTTCTTATTGTGCCTATGGGCTACTTTTTATGTTTCTCTTCACTGTATTATAATGAAGCCACCTCATGAGGGGCATACTTGTAATTTAACCTCAACCATTTTCTTTGAGAAAGGTAAGTATAAATTTCATCCAAAAAGGGAAAAAATGAAGGAGGATGTAATGAGTAATAATAACTAGTGGGGCACTTTAGACCCTAAGATCTGCTCTTATTTTGCATCTCATCCTTTCTCTCCTTGTTTCCTTCTACTAAGTACTTGTCTTTACACTGCTTCTTACTGATTTTAGTGTCTGGAATCTACAAGTAGTAGGTTAAGGTTTCAGTGATTAAATCATCTTCATGGGAGAGTATATTAAAGCCATTAGATCAGCTCCTACCAAATGTATAACGTGATAACCTCCATCCACCCACCCCTCTTTCTCTTTGAAACAAAGAAAAAGTCCACTCCATAGAGTTTTTTCTTTTTTTTTTTTGGTGGTGGTGGTGGTGAATGGGGTGGGGGACAGGTTAGTATAACCTGCTTTTCCATGGGCTTGACCGTTTGAACTCACACCTCCTCAATGAGAGGGATTCCAACTGGCCACTTACACTACATGGTAAAGTCAATTTTTGACAGATGATTCCCAGGCAACCCAGGTCCTATTGTAATTAGATCAGTTCCTCAAGACGGTCATCCTTTCCTGCAGTGTTGCATGGACTCTCCTAAATGAACAAGGTGTGTCACACACACATCAGATTCCTGAGGGACACTTCCACATAACATTTCCTTTTCTTATCGTAGCCTACTTGACATAAATAAACAGCTTATGTGCAAGATAATGTCAGATTTCCTATAAAATGTTACTAACAAATGGGGGGTGTAAACGGATCGAATTCGAATCGGATCAGGTAATATCCAAATTCGAATCCGATTAGAAAATCCAATATCTGAATTCGATTCGATATCCGATGGATATTGAAAATTAATATCCGAATTCGAATCCGATTAAATATTCGAATATCCGATTCGATTCAAATTCGATTAATTAATTATTTTAGATAATTAATAAATATATAAAATAAATATTTTATTGATATAAAGTATATAAATATATAAATTATTTATATAACTTAATTATTATATATAAATTATATAAAATATTTTATATATTATATATAAGAATAAATAATCGGTCGAATTCGGGCATTTATCGAATTGAATCAGGTCATATCTGAATTCGACCGATTATATATTTGAATTATCCAAATTCGATTCGATTATGTCGAATATTGAATTCGAAATCGGATTTTCGAATACCGTTGACACCCCTACTAACAAAGGCAATATTTTAGACCCCTTTTTGCAGGTATATAATGTCAGAATTCAAAAAATACGAATTACTTAGTATATACTTTTATATGTGTGTCCACGAGTCCATGTTTTCTTGTCTTTCCATGTCAGACTCTTGGAAAAGCATAAGATTCTGACACCCATGCCTATGTCCATGAAACACTGCTTCTCCGCAACAGTCTGTTCAAGTGATTCAACATGAGCCAATCTGTTAACATTGATAGTGTCTCAAGTTGTCATCATCCATGGGCAATGTTAGGCCATTCATCAGGGGAGATTTACAGACAGGCAAATTTCTTGGACCAAAGAAACCATCTCATTAAACCCAAGAGGCAAAGTCTTTTGGCATCAAGAGTAAACCTCTCATTCCAACCTCTTACTATTGTTTTCTAGTTTTCAATTGAAGGATTGCAGTGAAGTTGTGGAACTGTAACTTCAATTCATAGCTTGCAAATGCTCTGAGGGGTTCCCTGGATGCAGGTTATTTCCTTTCTTGGTTTTCTGTTGCTTTAAAGTAGTTTATTGTGTTGGAACCATGGAAGGCAGCTTTGTGGAGGCACGGAAGTGGAGAAGAAAACTGAAGGTTGAAGCTAAGGATCTCTGGTTTGAGGAAGTTAGAGTCAAAGGCAAGCTCAGTTTAAAGATAAGGGAAGGAAGCAGGTTTAAAAGGCAAGCAAAGCATTAGGCAAGAGGTTGGAATAGAGGAAGGTAAGACTTGTATAGTCAAAAGCAGGAAGAATACAAAGGGATGTTATCTAACTCTGGCTGAGTTCTTTGGCAAAGGAAAGAAACAGATGGTTTGCTTCCCGGCAGGAAGGCAGAGTCAAGGATGGAAGGATGTTAGCATGCTACTTGGTGAGTTTCTGGGCCGGGGAGGAACAGCTATGAAAAAGAGATCAGTAAGGGAGGAGAAGGCAAACCAGATTAGTTTGACTGGGAACTTGGAAAAGGAGCCTCTAATTATAGCGAAAGCCAATGGACAGTGTAGATCATTGGATTGCTCGAGGATGGGCGAATGAGAGAGTAGGTTTATAATCCAGGCAGGTTTAGAAGTTACGAACTGGAGGAAAGTTGCAGATCTATTGACTTCGAATCTAAGGCTGAAAAATGAGTTCGTTATAATCCCCTTTGATAAATGCAAAGCCTTGGTGGATTTTCGAGAGAACAAAGTAGACCTCTCGGCTGTTAACTTTCAGTCTGAGTTAGGAGCCGTTACAATATTCAGATGGAATCCCCTTTCAAATACTAAGGATTACTTTGTTGTAGACGGGGTATTGGTGTGCATAATAGGGCCGCCTTTTCATCTTTGGAGGCAAGAAGTAGCAGAATCCATTGCTTTGATGTGTGGAGGGTGATTAGACAGTGCTTATTGGGGAGAGGCTAGAATGGAGGGAGGGGAAAAGGTTGAAGAAGAAGGGGTACATGGAACAAGAAGATTGGATGATTTAAAAACAAATGGAACTTATACCAAAATGGGCCAACATTTTCTGGGGAGCCAAGAAACCTCCCTGACATGCAGCAGAACCTACACACAGGTGGTGGCTGGAAATAATGCAACGTTAGGGGTAAATATTCATGAGGGAGCATCCAAGTTACAGTTATCGCTGGAATGGGAATTATAAGAGATGGTGGAGTAGGGAGCCATGTGGGACCGCTTGGTACATGTAAACAAACCGAGCCTGTGGGCCTTTCCTTCTCGCCTGGGCCAAGGTTTAGAGGGGAGGGTAGTTCAGTTGGGCTTAGCACCGAGCCCACAACTAAGCCTATTAAGCCCTGTTTTTCTAAATCCACATGATAACTTAAAGGCTCACGTGACCCAGGGAGGGGAGAATTTGATAGACATCCCTAATAGTCTATTATCTTCTTCCTCGAGCTCCAACTCTCGGCTTTGGACCTTGAATCCCAGCAGTTCTCTTCAGTGGTTCCCAACAAAATTGGTGAACTGCCTAACCCCTGAGAGAAGGAATCCAAGGTGTATCAAACGCAGCGATTTGGAGAAGATGGAAGCAATGATTATGACTCAGATGATTCAGATGAAACCTCGAGTTTGGGCAGCATGGATCTGCAAGCTAAGGAAAACTTGTTTGAGACAGGGAGCTTGAGTACAGAGCTGCTGTTTCTTGAAGGGGCTGGCGGTGGTCTATCAGAGGAAGATACAAACCTTACACCCCAACGACAAAAAAGTTAACCCAAATCCTCAGGACTCACAAGTTTTAAATGTAGAAAAGACCTCTCTCTTGAGCACGGATAAGGGTGTTCCAGGAAGGGTAGAACAGGGTTCAGGTTTTCAAGAGTGTAGGCAAGATGGTGGTGTTTATGCTACCATGTCCACTCCGCAGGAGTCACCTTGTAGGGGACTGACACCAAACTTGTTAGCAGTTGGCCAACAGTCTAGCCCAAGTGGTCCTTGTGCTCTCGCTCCTCCTTTGTGTATTGATGTCAATTTGGTTTTAGTTACTGATAGGTGCATTTTTCTTGAAACAGGTGTACCAGCATCCCATCTAGGTGGCAAAGCAAAGAAAGGAGGTTGGGAAGGTGGCAGTGAGGTGAAGGGAGGGGAGGCAAATAAAATTTGGGCTCTAATTTTGTAGAGTTTGGGGAACTCAGTCGAAAGGAAGGGTATAGTGAGATGGTGAAGCTTGATGGTAATGGGGAGTTTGACCTTGATGTAAGAGTACGGACTCTAAATGTGGGTCCCACTAATGTGAGGGGTCAGGTGGGTGTAAGGGCTGGCAAAGAAGGAGAACTGAAAACAAATAATGATAAGGGTCATGAATTTAAGAGAGTGAAAAGAAAAAGAAAAAAACAGATCTAAGGTGGAAAGATTATTGTGTGAAATTGAAGGGGATTTAGAGTTTAGCGGGAGGGGAGACAGGAGGAAGGGTGGGAAGTAAAGAGGATTGGTCACTGGTTGAGGGTTTGTGCCAATGAGAATAGTTAGCTGAAATGTGAGAGGATTGGGAAGC